ATATATATATATTAGAGACCAGTGCTTTTCAAGCTTTTTGTGGTAAAGTACCAGTTTTTAAAATTTTCAGTTCATTAAGGACTGATATTTTTGTAAAATACAATACAAATGAATTACTACAAAAATGAAATTTTAAGAAATACAGAATATAGACCCCACTTTTTATTATAAGATTCATTAATACAAATTATTCTGTCAAATTGCTATAAAAGATTTTAAACACTTTTAATTTCATTTGCAGAGCAGTAGTAAATAGTTCATGGACTGGTAATAAATACTTTATAGGTCAGCACTGATCTATAGACCATACTTTTTGGTAAAATATCTATAGTCTACTGTTTGTAATGTTTGTTATTTCAGAAATGTTAGTCAATATGATGAATAGCGGTTATCCTTTAAAAAATATTTTTTTCTGTTTTCTTTTCAGAACCGAGAGCTCCAAATCATGAGAAAGCTAGATCACTGTAACATAGTCCGATTGCGTTATTTCTTCTACTCAAGTGGTGAGAAGGTAGGTCTTGCAGAAAATGTGTACTCAATATTGTGATAGTCTTGTTATTCATTTAGAAATAATCCCCCTTACCCAAGTAAAACAGTTTTGCTAATTGAATGGAAGAATTCCAAAATGCAGCCTTAGTGATTCTGAGCTCAAGATATGTTCATTGATTATATCAGGAAAATGTTAATGAACGAAATGAATTTTTAAAAATGTTCTCCCTTTTTTAAACTTCTGCCTTTAGTTCTAAAGCAAATTTATTTTAAAGCCTTTTATGTTATTTATGTGCTTCTGGAATCCCATGTTAGTTCATCTCTTTATTGGAGGGAAGAAAATGATGTCATTTTGAGAAGTTGAAGTATTGGAGGGGAAGGGAAAGGAGGAGCACCTCAGTAGGACCAGAATGAGACTTAAACATTGAGAGGCAAGTTTAGCCTATTCCTGGCTAGGGAAAAGTAGGAGAATGTATAATATTTCAGTCTTGTTGTAAGTCTGGGGTAGGGACTGTCTGGCCCGAGGGCCATATAAGGCCCCCAAAATCATTTGGTCTGGCCCTGCCAAGGCATTAAAGGTGAGTTAATTAAATGTTTGACCCAATATAACAGGCTAATTTTTAAGTTGATAATTTTGTATGGCCCTGGAATGATGTTATAAATATCTAAATAGCCCTTGGCAGAAAAAAGATTCCTCACCCCCGTTAAGTGGTCAATATTTATGGTCACATTTAATTCTGTAAAAGCAAAGGATAATTAAGGAAGATTTTATGCTGTGAATCCCTCCTTCCTCCCCCTTCCCTTGGCCTTCCTTGTCAGAAGACGTAGTAACTAATGTCATTGTACTCACTGGAGTTGGCAGCATAGAAAATCACTTTCTTCTATTTTACTGTGGTCTTTTTCTATCTGTTCACTGTCCCTTCTTCCCAAATTCAGTTGCTTTCTTACATCATTTTTTTCTTCACTGCTTTGGTGGGGCGGGGGGGAGCGGGCAAGACAAATAACAAACCACTTGATCTTTTTGGCTAAATAAATATGACTTCAGATAAATTAATTTGATATTTTGGACCTCAGATATCATGCATATACTTTCTAAAGTCCTTAAATCCATAAAGCCTCTTGATTTCTAGCCCAGTATACTTTTTACTTCACATACCTATTTCCCAATGTACACATGTTTAATTATTTTCCATTAATTTTTATTTCGATTATTTTCTTAGAAATTCTTTTTTTCATGATAGAGCCTATAATATGGAAGATATCTATATCTTTAGCCAGGATTGTGATATATAATTGGTGTGTGTGTGGGGTGGAGGGAGGGTGGGGGAGATGGGGGGGGGCGTAATATTTTAACAACCAAATGGTTCTTTTTTTTTTCTTTTAAAGAAATCTCTCTTTTTTTATTGATTCCAAAGAGGAAAGGAGAGATAGAAACATCAATGATGATGAGAGAGAATCATTAATCAGCTGCCTCCTGCATGCCCCCTACTGGGCATCAAGCCCGCAACCCGGTCATGTGCCCTTGACCAGAATCGAACCTGGGACCCTCCAGTCCACAGGATGATGCTCTATCCATTGAGACAAACCGGCTAGGGCCAAATTAGTTCTTTAGTGACTCTTGTTTTTCACATGCACCCTTGCCATTAAGTCTAAATGATTGCCTCTGCTCATATTAGGGACTATAAATCCTTATATGTATTTGAGCTCTTTTGTTTCTAAAGCCAATTACTTGATTCATGCCTTTTTTTTTTTTTCAATCTAGCAAACTGCCTGTTATGTCTTTAATTTTATCTGTTTTGGCATGTCTTTACTTTATCCTGTTCCTTCCCAAATAAAATTATGGAGCATCTGTTATGTTCGAAGCACTCTTATAATGGAATTTTGCATCCTCATGGCTTTTTGTTATTAGATGCTAGACATAATGATACCCCAGGGAGGAAAGTAAATGTCGGAATTATTTGTTCCATGAACCTCTGGATTGCATCCAGATTCATTTGCAAAGGTCTCCTTACAGGCCCCTAAACATTTTCTCTTGACTACTTAATTTATATTGTTTTCCCTATGTGACATGTCCTCTTTCAGTGCTTTACAAATATTAACTCACTGAACTCTTATTAAGCTAAAGAGCAAGGGAAGAATATAAAAACTTTCGAATGTAAGGCTGTATCTGTGATGGCACTTGAAGACTTAACTGGTTTTGGTTTGGTGGAAGCCCCATCACAGTCTGCCCTTGCTGTCACTTAATCCTGCCTGGGTAGTTACAATGGACTGACCATTATCTGTCTATCCCAGAGGATGATTTTCCTCACTGCTCTGTGCAGAGCTGGTTATTTATCTTAAAATCTTACAGATACAGAGCAATTGAGAAGTCATTAAGGGAGATTAGTCAGAGGACAGAGAACCTCTAATAAAATTATAAAAAAGAAATACACTTTCTAGTATTTTATTTAGCTCAGAACTTTCTCTTGAGTATTGTAAATTTTCCAAAGTAAAAGAAAGACATCTCTTAGTTTTGGGATAGCGCCATTTAAGAAGTAGAAAGAAAGAAAAATGATTATTGCTGAAAATAATGAACCTTTCTTGTCAAAAGAAAGTAAGATTTTCTGAAGATGTGCAGAAATACACAGGTTTAGTACCTCCCATAATATTCCAGCCACCAAAAGGATAATGTCTTCTTGACTACTCATGATCTCCACTTCCTTTATTCTAATTGTTATGGCAGGACCAACATATCACTCAAGAGACTAGCTAGTAAACTAATAAGAGATGAGTTCTGCTCTAGGGTTGAGAGCTCAGATTTGTTATTAGTCTAACTGCCCAAGAGTAGGTTACTGAGAGTGAACTCAGAATTTCTGTTTAGAATGGTACCTAATGTCTTATGAAATTCTTATCTCTGAATGTGGCAGTCCTATATTAGGTAGTTATTTTACTAACAGAAGCATTATGTATTGCTTATATGTATATATTAGAAGAGTTTGTGGGAGGAAATGATAAATAGTTTGAGATGCCTCTGAGACATGCAAATAGAGATGCCCAGTAAACAGGTGCATGTATGAATTCATAGGTGGGGGTTGGGGGAGCTAAATGAAGGGATGATATTCACAAGACTGGGTAGGTAGGGTGTGTAGTCATGTGGTAGATCTCTTGGGAGTTTGAGAAGGAGGGAGAAAGGATGTTGTTTGAGGCCAGGACAGCCGAGAGCCAGCAGTTGCAGTATTGCCTTCTGGTCCTAGAATATGTGAAGGGTGAGAACAGTCCTCATTTGAGAGAGCTGCAAGGAAGTCAGTACCTTTGGGTGGGATACAGGTTTAGTCATTGGCAAGGCAGTAATAAAGAAACCTTTATGAAGAGACTGGGGTTTGAAACTCTATGAAATAGAGTTTCTTTTGGGAATTTCAGAGAGCTCAGGGAAATCTCTGGGTAGATTAAGAACATGAGCCTAACGGGAAGGCTTGAGGATGCAAATAAGGGATTGAGCTGAGGGAATTGTGAGGATAAGAGAAGGATTCAGTGTTTCAGGATTATAAGGATGATAGACTTAGATTCTATGGATGAGCTCAAATGTATATAGGAGTATTTTGTACTCTCATTTCATCATTGACTGTCATTTTCTACCTCTTTTTCTAAGCTTTTTCTCTCCTTTCTCTTCTGTCTCTGTCTACTTTCTGGGTTTCTGTCCCCTTCACTTTTGGCTCTGATCTCTATCTTTCTCTCCCTCTTTCTTCATCTATCTAACACCTCAGATTCTTCTCTCCCCCGATAACTCTGGCTATCTGGCTTTGTCTCTGTCTCTCTCCCTCTCCCTCTCTCTGTTGGCTGTTTCCAGTATAGATCTGTCAGCTTTTTTCTGTGGGTTTCTGTATCTCTCTTTTGTTGGGTTTCTACCCATTTCAAACTTTTTCTGACTATCTAATCCTTTCTAAATCCTTGTATGGGTTCTTACCTGTCCTCAGCCTCCTCATTCTCTCCCTTGGTATCTCTTCTCTCTGAGACTCTACTACTTTCTTCTTCTTCTCCTTCTCCTTCTCCTTCTCCTTCTCCTTTTCTTCTTCTCCTTTTCTTCTTCTTCTCCTTTTCTTCTTCTTCTTCTTCTTCTTCTTCTTCTTCTTCTTCTTCTTCTTCTTCTTCTTCTTCTTCTTCTTCTTCTTCTTCTTCTTCGAAAAATTTAAAGAAGAAAAAGTTTTCACTCACTAGCCTGACTTTTTACTTCAGTTCTACATGTTTTATTCCATATACATGTTTTACATTTTTGTAGGAATAATCTATTTACACTAATAAAAGAGAAACACGCAAGTTGGTGTCACTCTGCTATGCCCACCAGCCAATCAGAGCAACTATGCAAATTAACCCAACAAAGATGGCAGTTAATTTGCATATGCAGACGCAGCGCGACTATTGAAGATGGTGGGGGCCACTGAGCGGAGCGAGCAGGAGGCTTGGGTTGCTCCCAGTGACGGAGGAAGCCAAGCTTCCCGCCAGCCCTGGACTCCGCTCAAGGAGTGGCTGGGGGCCTGGGTTACCAGGGGCTACTCAGGCTTCCAGCCCATCCTGGGCTCTGCTCAAGGAGCTGGGGAAAAGAAAAGGAGGGGCTGGGAACAGCTGGAGCAGAGAAGCCAAGCATCGCTGCTGCGGCCAGACCAAAGGCCTGGGTCCTGGGTGCCGGAGGAAAACCAGTGCCAGCAGCCAGGGGAAGGAAGGCCTATTGTGCAAATCTTCATGCAACGGGCCACTAATACATATATATAAAACCCTAATATGCAAATAGACCAAATGGCGGAAAAAACGAACAGCCAGTTGCTATAATGTGCACTGGCCACCAGGGGGCACATGCAGGACATGGCAGGCGTCAGTAGCAGGTAACAGAGTGCGGAACATGGTGGGCATTGGCCGGCGGCAGGATGGTGGAGCAGGTGAATGGGGGCACCAGACCAGGGCGGGGTGCTGGTCGCTGTCATTGAGGAGAGCCTCTGGTAGTTACTGAATATTCTTTGCTCCCACGCACTGTGGTCCCGCCGGGTACTC